ATATTTAGTACTCTCACATACGCTCTTTCTGACCTGAACACTTTGACAAAGTGAGCTTCCATCTGAGAGAAGATGGTGTCACACAGAGCACAGACAGGCTTCCAGTCACAGGCCACAGGAGAAGTGAGGCACTCCAACAATAAGGAAGGGAATGCCAACAGCCACCGAAGGAGCTGGATGCTGACCCTTTCCAGAATGAGCCTTCCAATTAAAACCATAGACCTTTGATCAGCACATTGGTTGTTCAGATCGCTGATGGATCCCGAAGGAGAAGACTCATCTGAGTCCCAAAGAAACGGTGGACAATAAGTATTTTTTGTCTCGAGCAGCTGGGCTCTTTTCCCAAGAAAGACAGAAGGAAGAGGAACATTTTGAAGGGGATAGAAGAGGACCTGTCAATCCAGAACTCTGAATCCAGGAAAATTTCTTTAAAGTGGGGGTGAATTAAAGTTGTTCTCACCCCCCCCCACACACACACCCCAGGTGCAACAGCTCCAAAGTGCTGCTGAAGGAAACTCTTCGGGATGGAGGGACAGGACATGAGAAGGAGAATGGGGAGCCCACAAAGAGGACGGACACCAGGAAAGGGGGAGGATGGTGAAGAGGGAGGCCAGCAGGAGGGGGAGCGGGGATGTAGAAGAGGACAGACAGCAGGGATGGGAGAGGGTGTGGAAGCAGGAGGACAGCAGGAAGCAGGAAGGGGGGGGGTGGCACAGGTGAGATGCACCTTGTCTTTTTTTTTATTATTTAAAGAAAATATGAAATCTGGTGCTTTTATCTATGTATGTAAATAAGATATATAAATCAGCAGTAACACTTTGCCTCCATTTCTAAAACATCCCCTAGAAGATACAAGCAGAGAGCAGGCGGGTGGTTACCCAGGAAGTCCCGGGTGGACAAGAGGAGGCCAGGTCAGTGGATGGCAGATGGGCTTCTCTGAGATGAAACTGTGTTGGATCCTAGGTGTGGTGACAAATCTGTATGTGTGAAATGTCACGGAACTGATCACAGCGGAGAAGTCGATTTTACTGTCTACCAATTTAAAAACAACTGGAGGTACAGATAGAAACCCTGGTTATCCAAAATCTTCCTCTATCTCCTGACCCATGAACCTAAATGACACAGGTCTTGCTGTTTTTCTTTTAAAAGAATATGATTAAAGGAAGGCAAAGTCTTTAAAAGCAAAATTATAAAGCTTAAAACAAAACTCTGTCAGGAAACCCATTGACTTAAGTCAGCTTAAGGCTTAGACATTCCCTGCATAGCTCCAGCAGAGCATGGGGATTGAAGGGAGCCTGAGAGAGGGAAAGGACACAGACAGTATGGGAGGAGGTGCCACCAGGGTCTGTCCAGAGTTACCGAAGATCCTTTAGGTTGGAGAATACTTTAAAGTCTGACAAGAAGGGCCAGTGGAGGCTGGGCCGAGCTTTGTGACATAAGCCACCAAGAGTCTCCACTTAGCACAGGAAGTGACTGCTGATTCAGGGCACTGGCATCCTCCAGTACCCTGCACCTCCTGCATGGAACCCCCAGATCTTTGCTTCCTCCCTCCAGATTGTTCCACACACTCACACAAGTGGTAGAACCCCTGAGACACAAGGGTGTCAGTGTGAAGATCCCCTTGGATGTTCTCTCTGCACCATCAAGCCCAGGGATGAACTGTTGCTTCAAAGCAAGAGCTGAGCGGGGAAGAAAACCCAAGGAGAGAAGACAGGCGTAAAATCAGCTTTTGAGGAGGTAAAGGAGAGAGGCAGATCAGAGTCCACAATCACAATGTAGAACACTCCAGAAAGCTTAGGCAAAAATGGAAATTGGAAGAACTGTTTGAGATGTTGTGATGAGGGGTCTTGTCAATACTGGAGTGTCATGAGTCATATCGTAGACATAAAGACCATAGTGCCCACCGCACACAGCATTTGTTGCTAAGAAACTGCATGGCCTTCGATCTCCACACAAGCAGGTCATGGCACACTATTTTTTTCATAACAGTGACCAGAAACTGATGGGGCATGAACTCCTGACTACTCACTGGGCAGTGAATGGCAATGAGATCTGTTTCAAAGAAAAGATAATAATTACATATTGAAGACTAGCATTGTTCAAGAGGAGAGAGAAAGTATGACATATGACGTGGATAAAGACACTGTATCCTACAGCTGTTCTCGAATACGAAGGTGTATGGATAAAATGAATACAAGCCTTAGTTTTAACTTCATTGTGTGTGTGTGTGTGTGTGTGTGTGTGTGTGTGTGTGTGTGCCCTGCATGCACATGTGATGTATGTGTGTGGCTGTGATTGTGGATATTTGCATATGTGCGTGTTTATGTGGAGACTGGAGAAAGGATGAAGTGAAGGGTCTTTCTTAATCTCTCTCCGAGGGTCTGGCTCTGAACCTGGAGTTCATTGGTCCCACCGGGCTGGCCAGCCAACAGACTCCAAGGGTTTGCTTGTCATCATCTCCCCAATTCTGTGTCCAACTTTTATGTGGATGTTGGGAATCCAAACTCTGGAATTAGCATCACTGTCACCACAAAGCAGCAATCCAATTGGCAAAGGCGGAACGGGGCTGGAAGGAACACCGAGGTCCCACCATCACTTGACTCTTGGGTTCAGAGCTGGAAGACAAGAGGACACAGGTGCTGTCAGTCACGGTGCTGAAGCCTGGGATGGAGGCACCATCTCCCAGAGCTGTGGCAGATCAGGGCGGTCTCAGGGAGGGTTGAGCTCACACTGACACTGGCACTGGCCTAGATAAGCTGAGAGACCCCAAGAGTAGAGACAGAAATACAGGAAAGCTTTGGTCTAGTTGCGGCCATTTTAGAGTCTGGGAAGCCAGGCGTAAAAGGGGTTAGGAGATAAAAAGAGAGTTATAATTAAAATAATTCAGTAATGTCAATATCATCTTTCCTTGCTGGGTAAGAGTGAGGAGTTTGGTGTTATCTCAAGTAAAGGGAATGGCTGAGACCTGACAAAGCCACCTCCTCCAGCTTCTAGATGATGCCCCACAGCCTGCTCCTTGTCAGGGTATGGGGGCGACAGCAGGAGGACGGGATTCCTGACCCTGTCCTCAGAAATCATCCAGGCCAATGACTTTCAAGAGTGCGCATGTTTATTGCTTCCTGTGAAACACTTTCTTTCTCCAAACCAAGTACTTGGGTACAGCCCAAGGCATGATGTCAATAGCAGCAGAGTGCCTGGGCAGACAGATGGAAGCCTTAGAACAGTCAGATGGACACCCTAGGACAGTCAGAGTGGACACCTAAGGACAATCAGATAAGACACTTTAGGACAGTCAGATGGACACCCTAGGACAGTCAGATGGACACCTTAGGACAGTCAGATGGAAGCCTTAGGACAGTCAGATGAACACCTCAGGACAGTCAGATGGACACCTAGGACAGTCAGATGGACACCTCATGACAGTCAGATGGACACCTCAGGACAGTCAGATGGACACCCTAGGACAGTCAGATGGACACCTCAGGACAGTCAGATAAGACACTTTAGGACAGTCAGATGGACACCTAGGACAGTCAGATGGACACCTCAGGACAGTCAGATGGGCACCTTAGGACAGTCAGATGGGCACCTTAGGACAGTCAGATGGAAACCTTAGGACAGTCAGATGGACATCTCAGGACAGTCAGATGG